TCCCAGAGAAGAGTTAAGGGACAATTCCGGACAATTAAGGTAAACGTGCCAATCTTATTATTTTATATTAATGAGACTTACATAAAATTTTTTGTTTATCAATTCGTTATTCGTCTAAATTATATTATCAAGCTCATATTTGGATCAACTTGAAAAGCTGAAAGCGAATTCAGACTCTGAGCCTTAGAATATTCTCGGTTGAGATTCACTAGTTATTTCAATCGATACGGATTTAACATGAAATAAATTTCTACGCGTATCTATCTTGTTACTCATTGATACCCTTGACAGCGTGGCTGAACTACCCTGGTTCTATTTTCTTTATGTGTACTGATGATGACGTGTATTTTAGTTAAAGGTACTTTTTGGGAGGCAGGACTAAAGAAAATTCTATGGCACTCTGAGACCTACTCATATTTTTATGGGAAAATTTAATTATTGTAACTTCTTATTCGACCTTGGGTTAATACGTAACTTATTCTCTATTTACTGGTAGTAGTGAAACCTATAACAGCGATTCCCAAACTGTGCGCCGCAGCGCCCCGAGAAGCCGCGGCCTCTTTACAGGGGCGTCGCGAAATATTGTAAAAGCTTCAATTTGAGAAAATGTGTAATGATTTGCAGGCTTATCCATTACATTTATTATTAAATATTAATTTAATGTTAATAAAGTAGAAAAATAATGAAGATACACGAGTTTTATTTTTTATCTCTTACGTATAGTCATACTTAGGGCAGGGCACCATGGGAAAATTTTAATTGAAAAAGGGCGTCGCGACTTTAAAAAGTTTGGGAACCAATGTTCTATAGTAATATAGGTAACTACTCATGTTTATAGCTCGAATCCTACTATTGATGTACTCGTGATAGGACTTTAAGTAGATATTTTCGATGATTTTCCAGGGCTCCCTTTTATTAATGAAGGTTTCGATCCTAGCTGTGTTTGAATGGCTTAGTTTCCTTGTATTTTGCTCAATGGTGCCGAGTTCCACTCAGTTATTGGCTTGAATTAAAAGCTCCTTTTATTTATCAATCACTAAGCCTTTGGCAGTGTTAGCCATTAAGGCTGAAATAACGTATATTTTTTGCCCGATGATCTCGTAGCTTCCGTTTTGAGACGTCCCTCTTGTCAGTAGTGGTTAGCAGCTACCAGATTCGCAATTCCTCTACTTGCCCTGAGTCTTTGTTCAAACCTTATTCAACTGATAGCTCAGTACCTTATTTATTGAGGCTTAATATGGAGGAAACATGTGATCACCTGATTAATCTTTATCTAGAAAGCTTAATTATGCTTATTTTCTATCCAGCTGTGGATCAATATAGCTTATTCTCCAGTTTTTGCTTTAGAAATGGTGACTAAATCATCGAGTCTCATATTTCGTCCTTCAAATCAATATGTCCTGAAGATGAATCTATTTTTCCAATGTTTCCATTGGTAGGAATGAGTGAATTTTTATCGAACCAGCGCATTCTTCTATTAAATGCACTACTAATGGATGAAGATCACAGATTTTTCACCACACGTTGCAAAACATACTCAATTATAATTTAAAATCTTATTATGAAGATATCCTAAATAGGGAAATACTACATTAGGAGTTCAACGAAATATTGTGTGAGTAAAGGGTCGAGGTGAGTTCATTGTTCCAAGCTTTATCCGCCCTGACCTTTTCTTCATTACTTATTTCCTAAACTGAAGTGAATTTCAGTTTCATTCCATAAACAGCTTGTGCTCCAAGTTAAATGTTTGATCAAAGATTGAAATTCATATAAGATTGTTATGCTTCCGGCACTTAATCGATGCTATCCTTACGAGGCTTACTGCTGATCTAGGCTAGACAATAATATAATCACTTGTAACATCTATTACATAAGATTAGGAAAAACTCATATAGTCCAAGTTACTGGTACTTAAACATATTATTGTGGTCAATGTCCATATCTGTATTTATTGTGCTTTTGGCTTCCACGAATCTGGGATAGATGGATCAACACCCTCATATTTTTAGTTTTCTTTTTCAAGAGCCTTTCTTTCTGCGTGTGTGTGTGCTACCTATAGTATTCTTCCCTATCTTACTTCTTTTCTATCTCCCTTGCATCGTTACCGTATATTCTTTCTTCGCAGTCTCAATTCATTCACCAAGAAAGCACATTTTCAGGTCTTCTTCTTCTCTCCACTGCTGCACGTAGTGAGCTCGCTGCCTCTCAAGCTGCTTTAGCACGCGCCACTTCACATCGTTTTCTCGTGGCTCCAGGTGCCCGGTGCTGTCAGTGTCGTCGACGCATCGGTACCAGTGCCTTTGTCCGCTATCCAAGCACTGGAGAATTGGCTCACTATGGTTGTTGTCGCGATCTCCCACCAGCACCCCCTCTACCACAACTACACTCACATTTACTCTCACAGTCATATACGCCTGTACAAACAAGCCAGATCCATTATCAGCCTCATCTCGTTCATCTAAAAAAGCAACAATCTTTTTCCAATCCACAGGCTTCTGACCCGAAGCAGTCTACTGCCATGGCTAAGCCAGATTCGGTTAAAGTGTCGTCCCGTTGTATTTACATTCCCTCTTCTCACTCCCCAGTTTCACGCATCCCAATGTTTCAGGCCATTGAAAATTCCCCTTCCGTCACGTCAGCTACTCCGATATCCAACCAGGGCACTAAACAACATCACGGCTTAAATGGATCGACTCCTACTGCTTAGAGATCAGTATCTGTGGCTTTATATTGTCAGTCTCTCCGATCCATGCGATTCATAGCTATGCCTGTTTCTTTGTGGATTCTATCCTTCCTCATAGCTGCCCTTTTACATATATGTCTACATGCATATCTGCATGCGCATATATAATTATAATCGAGCCAAGGATTTTTGTCCTTTCTAGTCACTTTCGTTTATATATAAGATACAAAATCTAGACCCCCTGCTATATATTCGCTGCTTTGTGTTCCAAAATACGCCAGAACATTATCAGAAATATTTATTTTATGCCGAACTCTCTCTTCTGGCAAGTCTTATTCATTACCTCCTGATTGGTCGGGATATGCTTATATTTTAATAGTTCAGTCATGTCATATTCCATGTGCTACAACGACGCTTTAAATGATTTGAATTCTTATTTGAACAATCCTTCCTATGACCCTTTCTTTGTGCTAATCCGAATGGCTACTTCCTATTTTTCATATTGCTTTATACAAAAACTATCTAAATTACCATTTAATATCTCGAAGGGACTAAGAAACTGAGGGACAGGTAAATATTCATAGCTTCGCGATGATAATTGTTTCCATTGAGTTCATCATCGGTCCGTTTTTTGTATCTATCGTAGAATATAAAAACATATGGAGATATCCTGCCTTTCACTATATTCTTCCTTGTTGATATCATCCGAGCATTTATCCGCAAGTATCCATCTATGTGCATCTGCTGCACGTTTCAATTATCAACATCTTTTACATTTTATTATGTTAATCACTGTTGAGTAAATTATAGCATTATTTACTGAATGTTCGACCAATTGGCTGCAGGGTTATGCTTTTGATTTCAGATAGAGTTGCGACGATGCGAACTCGTAAATGTATATATCTCTTCATGATGTAGGCAAGTGCCTTACTTGGTATATTTAATCTTTAATTATTTTCTTACATCGATCAAGCCGTCCAGCACTCTTGTTTTGCCTTATTCCTATTCATTGCCCAAATGAATTAAGAAATTTTTTACTTAAGTCTGACGAGATTAAAATGATATAATCTGACATCAATTTTGATTGTTATTTGTATTTTTGTTATCTTATTCACTACCTTCGTCAGCACTCCTGAAAAAAGTGTTGAATGTGCCATTTTGCAAACTCATTTTATTATTTACTGGATACATGCAAAAATCTCACCAGTCCACAAATGAATATATCCAATTAACCCATATTAATTTATAATGAAGTTTTCAAATATATTATTCACCAAATTTTTAAATTTTGATGATTTGGGGTTAACATCATATAGAGACCTGTCTTGTTATGACTAGACTTTTTATTGCAAATCAGATGGACGTTCCTACTTTGATAAAACAAAATGGCTCGATTTAACGTTATTGGAAATTTTCATGAGTTTTGCAACTGCAATTATAATCAAAACACCAATAATTTAATTACAAAATGTCTCGTTTTAAAAATACAAATATGAATAGATGGATGATAGAGAAAGAATAATAGGTCTTGGAAGCTATTAATCCTTGGAAAAAAATATTAAACGAGAAATATCGTGATCTCAACTTTGTCACTAGAAGATACATGATTAAATTCGTTAGGCATGCTGATAAAAGTATATTCAAGTTACTAATGACATGGTCCAAATCCTTTTTTATCAACGAATATATTGGTTTAATCTAAGGTATGAAGACCAAGATGATGTAGCTTTTTGTGTGGTCACAGTCTCATTTCGTTGTATAGAAGTTGTTTGATCTTGTTTTCGCAACTTGGTCG